TATCTCAAAAGCTGCTTTGAATTCTCAACTAATATACATGTAGGCTGTGATAGCTAACTGGTATTTGATTATAAATTCATTAAAAGTACAAGCAACAAAAAAGATTGACTCATTACTTTGTGAGGATCAGGCTTTTCTTCTTTAGAAGGTTCGCCATCAAAAATGAACTTTCTTTTCGGGTAAGGGATTTGCATTGACGAGAACACACTAAAGAAATGAATAATAACAAAATGCAGTTAAAGAGAAGACATCAGGTCACAAAAATGAATTTTTAAAAAGAAGCCAATCCTGGGCTCATCCATGCAATTATAAACAGGAAAAAAACAAGCCAGAGTTATTTTAACGGACAGGAAGCAGTCAATCAGCTCATTAAAGCACCTGTCAACTGTCACGCATGTACATGTACATATACATATACATGTACAAGCTACAGTCACACCTACACCCAGATCATAATAAACCAATCAATGGATGTACATACATTAATTGACATACTATCATTTGATGAGTTTACTATAAGATATAGTTAAAATAATATTAGCAGGGAATGAAGAGTAACCATTAGCATAACTGCTCATGCACATACCAAGTCATTGTTTGTCATTCTTTCATGCTCTACACGTCAGAGATTATTATCATTATAATTATGATTATGAAACTAATTGACTTGTGACATGAAAATTTTACTCGATTGGAAACTGCAGACACACACACAAAGAGCTTTCGTGGCTCTAATACATGCAGAACATGGACTTAAACTATGCTTCCCTTTAAACCTTATGTCTCTTGGTATCAGTTAGTGACTCACTCTGATGTGTGTGATGGCTCCTCAGTGAAGTAAGTATCAAGCATTGCTTGGTCTGAGGTGATCCTCTTGTTTGGATCCATTACAAGAAACTTTGTTAGCTAATATAAATAAAAATAGAAAAAAATAATTATTATTTAAATAAATTATGGTTAGAAACAAGCTATTTTTTATAGCCATCGCAGGTATGTCTCAAGTATGTGTCATTGTTCAATCAGAAACATCATTATACAAGTATATACTAATTATACATTAATTGTTGCATTTAAACATAAGATCTACAAGTAAATGTGCTCGGAAACAAAATTTGCTTTTTTACAGGACAGTCATGGTTGATAAAACTAATTAAAATAATAACAAGCTACAGCATACCATCATTAATATCTAAACACAAAACAGGAAATTAAAGAGCCAGTAAACATGAGGTTGACAACTGTTATCATAAGGATCAATAGTGGCCATCATACAAAAGGAATGCAAATACATGCACAGAGCAAAAAATATAATTTTTAATGCTTGATGACAAAAATAACATGAGCAAACACAAGCAAACAACAATGCTGTTATTTATATAGACAGGGCATATTCCTTACCAGTTTAAATGCACTAGTATCATGCTTCACATTGTGCTTATCCATGTACTTCTGTAAGGCACAATTTGCAAAACTAATAAAAAATAACAACACAAAATAGATTACAAAATGCAACACATAAGTACATATAAGTATACTTTAATAACATAAATGATGATACATTGTGGTTTACTTTGCTTTCTGTCGTCCAAAGTCTCTCATCAACGTTGAGTATTCAGGCATGTGCTTCATATCATCCCAATCTCTATCTATTGGTAAATACAATGCGAGTTTTTAATTGCACAGAAAAAATAATACAGTGATTTTTCTTAAACTTGCATGATAAAGAGCGCAGAAATGTGTTATGCACGTGCTCTGTTGTAGTCAGTATTAAGAAGATGCATCTATTTAGATCCTGACCACAACAGAGCATGTGCAGAGCATGTGCATGACACATTTCTGCTTACCTTTTAGGAAAATCACTGTAAAACAATTCATAGTATCATAATGACTACTCTTCTGTTAATGTAATTGTTGATTAATAGGCATTAAATGGACGTACATAAAAGGAAAGGACACATTAGTAGCTAAACCCTTGGAATGACAATAAACAGAATAAGACTGGTAATGGGAACAAATCAGCATCATACTAAATAAAGAAGTTCATCAACCAAAAGAGAGTACAAAATAGTGAATATAAAGGAAATTGCATTGATATGATAATTATTGCTGATTTTATGCTTTTTCATGCTTGCACCCTTCACATTGTTTGTTGAATAGTCCATTGGCAATGAATAGAGGGTATAGTTGAGTCATGCAGACATTTCCTTTGCAATTGGCATGTGCATGTATTCAATGCTACGCTCTATGAAAGCAGCTCACGGACAATAAAATATTAATAATAAGAACTACATACCATGGCAATACACACCCACACAAGTAATGCAATTAGCAGATAAGCAACAATCTGCTAATTGATGCATGAATTATAAAAATTTAAACATTCATGTATATACAAATATCAAAGATACTGATAGGCCACAAATGACAGCACTATAACTAGTGAACTCTACAATCATTCAAACACTAATCAAATTATCCACTATTGGTATAATGGAATGGGAAATTGGAAATTTGGAACACACAGTGCATTTACACAATGTAATACTGACCATGTGGAAATCCCATTACTAGAAATATCCTTTCCAGCTGTTCTCTGTGGTAAGGGCTGCTGGCCTCGACGTCTTCCTGGCGACAATGAAATATCGGCTCAAAAGTCAAGAGTTCGGCAAATATGCACCCGATAGCCCAAATATCTGCAGAAAAAAGTTAAAAGTATAAATACATATTATCAAGGGTGGATAATTATTGATATTATGGATGTATTTATGATTGAACATGTACTTGAATTAAAGGCTATAAATTCATAACACAATATACTCTCATTGGTATAAGGTACATGTCATAAAAGGAGAGGAGAAGTGTCAAAATAACATGTTGGGCTGTTACAGGAACACTTTGATCTGTTGACAGGCTGTCACACAGCACCAACCTCATCCTGTGTGAGATATCAAAGCAGCAGGCACTCAATTCACGAGTGTTGCATAACATCATGAGCTTAGAGAGTGTACACAAGTATTAGATTACAGTAAATTAAATAGTAGCCCATGAGTGAGTGAAGCAGAGCTAGAGTACAACATAGCAAAAGCACAAATGTATAATGTATTACCAGTAATAATGATATAACAATAAAAGAAGTAATACTGTAATAGATATAATGTATACATGTATATATACCAATTGCTTTTGTGTAGTGTTTGGCTCCCAGTAACAGCTCTGGTGCTCTATACCAGAATGTGACCACAACTGGATCAAGATCAGCTAACGGTTTCAGGGGAGCATTGAATAGCCTAGCAAACCCCATATCAGCTGATGGTGAAGAGGAGAGAGAGAGGGAGAGAGAGAGAGGGAGAGAGAGAGGGGGGAGAGAGAGGGGGGGAGAGAGAGAGAGAGGGGGGGCAAGGGATAAAGGAAGGTAGAGAGACAAACATCAGTTAAAAGCTAAATTTAATGGATGTCATAAAACACAAGAGAATATTACATGAAAGAGGAGTTTTTGTAACTAAAGCTGATAATTCTTTTGTTATCTAATCTTCAATAGATAAACTACAATAGGTACTTATGTAAAACAAGTATTGATGAGGTATTCTAGAGACAATCCCACCAAACCAGCCTTTACATAATCCTCAACAACATACCAATTTTGACTCTTCCTCTTTCAGGGCCATCTCCCATAACAAGAATGTTGGCTGGTTTCTACAATGATAAAAATAATAAGGAAATTATCATTGTTATCATCATCATCATCATAATTATTAAAACATTATTATCGAGAGTTATTTTAGAGAAATAAGGAATTAGCAAAAGACATGTAGAGAGTTTAGAAATAATGCACACTAGTCTTTTGTGGTTTGGATTAATTAACAGCTATTAGCAGTTATTACTAGTATAATTATAATAAGAATTATTAAATTATATTCACAAAATGACTGGTAAAGCCAGTGAATACATGAGTATAGTATCATAATAATAATAGCTTGCTATTACAACACTGAGTCTGCTATATCTTAGCCAAGAATGTGTTGTTTGGTACAGCTATCAACCTGAGTGTACTACATGTATAGGCAGTAGTGGTTAAGGACACCAAAAGCAATAGAGGCGCTAGGAGAGTTGTAGGGATACAATACCGGTGGCATGCATCTGTGTAAACGATTGACAAAAATGAGTGAATGGAATAGCAGAGCCTGTACTCTGTACATACAGCATATGCATGCACTTGTTTGACATCATCCGTGACATCATACAAAAGAATACTATCCATATGGGTTATACGGTATGAGGAAATAGTACAGAATGGATACAGTGAGTATAATAACTGGTATATATAAACAGGAAGCTGGCTATAATCTGATTTATAACACTCGAGGCAGACAAGAGTTAAGAGATTATTCATTGCCTGACTACCTGGTAGAGAGAGAGAGAGAGAGAGAGAGAGAGGGAGAATGGAGTGGATCCTTTCTAACAATGACAGGATTAGCTGGGCTATGAAGATGTCTAACATCAATGGATTCAACCTACTCAAAGAGCTACAGGACCACCTCCTAGAGAATAAACTCACTATCAGTCAGGCCACCTTCACCAGTGGACTAATACTAGTCCTACATGAGGCCTGCAGGGCTGGACACATAGAGTTTGTCCAGTACATACTGGACAAGCATCAGGCCGAGTTTGACATCAACCAACTCATCCTCTACCATCCCAACTTTGACTATGACATATCCCTCAAGACAATAAGGTGGCTCTGCAACCACAGGAAAGAGACACTAGTCCATGCTGCTGTCTGCTCGGGCTCACTGGATCTCCTGGAGCTACTGGTAAAGCACCAGGGCTCTGTCAATACCCCAGACTGCTGCTCACTCACTCCACTACAAAAGGCAGTCACCATATGCGACATTAGTATAGTCAAATATTTACTCAAGGCTGGTTCTAATGTCAACTATCAGGACTCGGATGGTCGTACAGCATTAATGTACATATGTACAGCACACCTCCTCCCAGCTGTCATAGAGCCAATACTCAAGCTTCTCTTTGAAGCTGGGGCCAACCCTGACATCACAGACAAGAGAGGATTCACTGTACTACATGAAGTTGTCTACCAGAAAAACACGGCCACACTAAAGCTTCTCATCAAGACATTCAAAGTCTCGCCGGAGATTTGCTGTCTTAAATCCAATAAACCTCACCCGCTGTATTTCGCAACGCAGCTCCTCGACCTCTACATGACCAACCCAATCCCACCAATGCCCACACAAGCAATAACCGACCACCCCTCGGTCCAACTAGGAACAAAGATAAACGATTTACTACTAAACGCCACTCGCTCCCTCTACAGGTACTGCTGCGATTATAACAAGGACCCAGAACAGGACCTGGCCGACTGCGTGGGTCAGCTAAGGCAAGGGCTTCGGTTACGCCCGTCGCTAAAGTCTCCAACAAAAGTCGGTAAACTGCTTGACGCGTACGGGAACATAAAAGAGGCAGTGTCACTAGAGGATTTTCATAAGAACTACTCAGATACCAATCGTAACGTGGTATACCTAGCCTTTCAATGCCTCATAATAAGAGAGAGGGTACTGGGATATGGTGACAGCTCCCTGATAGAGTTCCTCTTTATGTTTGGTAAGGTATTCACGGAATCTCAGTCCTCGCAGAAACACACACAGCTTGAAAGAGGACTCAAACTATGGCTGAGAGGGACAGAGATGCTCGTATCTCGACTGGAGGAAAACGTGTACAGTAACTTGAAGGAGCTTCAGAAACTGACGGAGAGCGGAATGGAGAAATACAACAAATTCATACAAACGAATAGGAAGACACAGAATGGTTCATGTCCCTGCGAGGTCCTAAGCTCAATACTGAGACTGATATTCAAGAACCTCATAGAATGTCAGTACCTGGCGATAGAGCAGTTTAAAGCTAGGCACTATCACGATATCATCTCACCAGTGAGCTACCGACACTTGATCAGTATACTTCAAATGCTACACGAATCTAAAATACCGGGAATGGAAGCAACTACGCTAGTGTATGAGGCGGTATCTAAATGCCCTATGTTTAACTACGGGTTCGAGCTATCGACAAATCTCATAGATGTGCTGCTAGACGAGCCTGAAGTAGAGATATCGTTCCTCACTTTCCTACTCAAGTCTGGCTGCAATAAAGTAATTAACGAGATTGGTCTGTTCGGACTCCGCCCCCTGTACAAAGCAAAAACGAAAGAGATTGCAGAGATACTTCTACAGTATGGGGCCCATCCTGATGCCGTGAATGAGGACGGAGCCTGTGGTCACCAATCCTTCCTCAAGGACTACTTCAAGAGCCCACTACCACTGCAGTGTCTTGCAGCAAGAGTTATAATCAAGGAATCGATAGAATATCGGGAGAATGATCGGCTACCAATTCATGTCAGGGAATTGATATCATATCACGATCCTGATCACACTCAGCTCAAAATCAAGGAGGCATTCAAGACATTAAACTAGTTGACTGCTGATAAAAAGTCGTTAAAACATATCATTACAGTACATGTACATTAAATCTTTTAATTATTTGAAAAATTTCTTGACATTCATTAAATTATTTGGTCTCTCCTCCAACTTAGTAACTAATGTGATTATGATTACTTTCCTGTAACATAAACTCTGTTAAGTTTTCACCATAACTCTTAGAAATTCCTTGAACAAACACAGGCAGGCAATATTAAGGACTTTGGTTCAATATGTACAGAGTATATACAAATGCATACTAGTCATACCAGTTGGAATTTTGTCTTTGTAACAAAGAACTGCATGTCTCATAAAGCAACTTCCATACAAGTTCATGATTACTCAACTGTACACTATAACCATTTGACGTAATCTCAAATCCCACACACACACACACACACACACAGAGTGATGGTATAATCTACTCCTACAGAGTCTACAAGTAACAAACACATGTAGTCCACAGTTGGCAACTACACAATACTAGATAACCACACAATAGAATAGACACATTCCAGAATACAATAGAGGGACACAATAATGCAATCAATACTTGTAGTGAATAATGGTGACACACAATAGGGGACAAGTAGGGCTGTAGACTCAATCTTGAATAGTAAACAGAAATGAGTAAAAGGTTAGTCTCATCATTATGCTAGAGGATAGTAATAAAATGGCTTAGCAGACAGAAATTAAAGGAATGCCAACTCATAACAGCTAGTACAAAAAATTAATGACACAAGATTCTTGAGCCAATCAAACAGTGCTATCTCAAATTATAAGACTAGAGTTCAACTGTACAATAAGAACATTAAAATGAATGTTGACATACATACATCTACATTCTGATAATGATACACATGTATTGTGCATGCACTTAAAAGCTGTTTGCTATTTCACTAGTGTTTCCTCACACTGGACAACATACACTATAATAAACAAAGGATTCTTGAACCTTTACAAAGAGTTAATTTTCAAAAACTATCAGCCTGGACAAGTACTACACTACCATATAAAAACAACATACATTGAATGTTGATACCCATCCATATCTAATGCAAATTTGATGTTACTAAGCAAAAATAAACACTTTGCGTTGTTTTTATGAATCAATAATACAAGTGGCTGTTAGGTAAACACATCAGATAGAGTGTACACACACTGACCTCTCAGGGAGGATGTGCACATGTAGACAGAATCACTAGATAGTGGACATCAAAAGGTTGGCCTATAGTAATTAAAGGATAGAGTGGATATGTGCATGCACATATACATGTATGTGTGCATGTATGTGTACAGGGTGTGCATATGAACCATCAAAGATATGTGAAGTATAGGATGAGGGAAGAGATGGGCTATATATGATGAGTTAAGTACACTAGATGGTAATACAATATGAACTGTGTCCTCTCTACCCTCTAGTAATACAATACATGTATTACGTAATAAATAGCATGTACCCGTACTTGTGTCGATAACAAAAATGCGAAGCCACAACAGTAGGTGCAATCAATGTATGTCATATTATCAGTTCATCATGTGACATCATAAATACATACATGTACATGCTTACTCTATACTCACAAACAGCTCAATACGTATTGTGACACTATGTACACTACATGCACTACATGTACATGTAGACTGCTCACTCTGCACTCACAAACAGCTCAATACGTATTGTGACACTATGTACATGTACATGTAGACTGCTCACTCTGCACTCACAAACAGCTCATTATGCACAGTCAAGGAGACCTGTAAGGCCAGAGACAAAACACATACATGTTTACTAATACATGTACATGTAGTATGCAGTGTCAGCATGAAGAATGAGATTCAGTCAAATGTACATGTAGGTACATGTACCAGTGCCTATGTGGCGTGTACATTTGTATGTGGAAAGTTTGAATTGATTTTGATTAAAATTTTTGAAATATTTTCAAAAAATTATATTCCAAGTAATCATTGTTGTATGTATCACACTCATAAAAAGTATCACTTTCATTTCGACTGCAATATTAATAATAGCGAAAACTTTAATCCTCAAAGCAATATCATACATAATTGGAGTCTCTTATAAGACAAATCAATCATATTTTCAAGAGTGCATTAATTAGAAATGTTGGCTAGGTGAGTATTCTTGGTAAGCAGTGACATACAAACAAGTTTAAAGTTACCAAACAAACTAGCGACTGATCTCAATACATGTGATGTAACAAACACAATCAACAACATGAAACAAGCCACCAGCAATATAGCCCAACATGCCCTTAACATCAGTAGAACAAGATTACATACAAGTAGAGGTACACTTTACATATTTCTATGCTAATAACTGAATAACTACACATTCCAGTGGTACATCTTGCCCTCTCCTCCCTTCCTCTTTTCATTAATGAATAGTTTGAATACACAACAACAAGAGTAGCAAGCATCCAGCTACGAGTCTGCTACAAAGAGAAAGGAAGCTGCTGCCTGTTGCTAAAATAACTATCGCTTAGCTGATTTTTTCGCGGATAATAATCTTCACAAATGACCCGTATCTGGAAGTTTGCGGAATTAATTTTTGAAAATTTCCACTATTCTGCCATCTCGTATTGTATTAAATTGATTTTCAAGGAATTAAATTTTGCGAATCTTAAAAAATCCGTGAAATTTGTTATCTTCGAAAAAACCTGCCATACGGTATATGCATAATACATGTACATGTATGTACAAGCTTGTATCAAAACAAAAATCAAATTTTACAAGCAATTGTGTAGTATAATGAGACTCTATAGATTTGACTCACCAGATCTCTGTGGAGGACCCAGTTACTGTGGAGATAATGGATGCCACTCAGTATCTGGTACATAAGCGACTTGACCATTGTCTTAGGCACCTGGACCTGAGGCTTCTTACCACCTTTAACTGCTCTATGATACTTAATAATGTGCTGTAGGAAAATACAACGTTATAATGGTGATTTTGATTTTAAAAAAGAAATGTACTTAAGTAAGTTTTAATGTCATCAAAGCAGTTTTAAAAGAGAGAGAGGGAGGATCTATCCCAAACCACAAAGGTTTGAGTTTATGGCATCATAAAAATATAAGCATTTCAGCATTTCCTAATAATACAGCTCTACTTGTTCCTCTTACCCAAAGATCATGCTCAGCATAGTCAAAGAGTAGCCAGACCTTCCTGTCAGCATGTGAAAGGAACACTCTCTGGAGACTGATGACATTGGAGTGCTTTAGCTCTCTCAACAACTACAAACACAAAGAGAAAAGAACACTCAGTCTAGTGCAGTCTCAATGAACCAACTAATGTTTCTCTGCAGGGCTTTGGTGTAGTGCTTAGGCATTTTTAAAATTGCTCCAAAATCGGGTCAAAGTCCCTGTACTATAGTACAGGGTCGTTGGCCAAATTTCATCAAAAATGGCTAAAAAAGAATTCTCGATTTTTATAATTTTTTCTGATAGATATACATGTTTTTATGTTGCTTATCAAGTTTGAGCTGATTCCGATCAAGTTTGAATTTTTTATGAATTTTTAAAGTTGCTCCAAAATCAGGTCAAAATCCCTGTACTATAGTACAGGGTCGTTGGCCAAATTTCATCAAAAATGGCTAAGAGAGAATTCACCATTTTTATAATTTTTTCTGATAAATATACATGTTTTTATGTTGCTTATCAAGTTTGAGCTGATTCCGATCAAGTTTGAATTTTTTATGAATTTTTAAAGTTGCTCCAAAATTAGGTCAAAATCCCTGTACTATAGTACAGGGTTGTTGGCTTATAAGATTTTTCAGCTCATGAAGTTGCTTTTTTAGTTCACTTAGCATGCTTTGAGGGAAATCCAGGAACCAAAACCTCATATTAGATGCATGATTAGCTAATAACTACATCTAAAGTATAACTATAATAATTTATTATTGTTTATTCTTTTTTCTCAAACAATTGTCATCTTGGACATGCATATACATAGTACAAACTCCACCTATTAATTATGCAATCAATCAAAATGGCTTACAGCAATTTCTCTGCAAGCTGACATTGATATTCCTGTCCCTTCTATCTGCTTCAATGCGTACTCCTTTGGATCATCCCTACATCATTTGAATGGTATAAAATAAGTAAGTTTAAAATGTTATCATAATAAAACCGACCCGCTCCGTTTCTTGGCTTTATAAACGTGGCCATAGGTTCCTCTCCCTATCTTCTTCCCTTCATATTCAAATAGGTCCTCGACTTTCTCTCTCTTTTGGCTCAGAGCATCTATGAAACCAGAATCCATGGATCCTAATTATTCGATTTATTAATTTCAATATTACTCTGATAGATTACATACGGTATATACAGTTGCTAGGGTCATTAATGTTGCTAAGGGAGCTGGTGTAAATGCGTTTCCAGGGCAACGGTTACTAATGAGTTTCCCGCAAGTGCCATTATTGCAGAGAACTGATCATGGCTGAGACTATCTCCACGCTTGTGGCTGCGGCCAAGAAGAGCAAATTCTCCATGATCAACCACCTTTCAATAGATGGTGAGTGCATAGCTCTCCTGCAGCTCGGTAACCTATTGCAACCTTTTTTGCAGATGTTTTGATAGTCTGGGATGAGCTAGCTGACTTTATTGAGAAGCAAATGCTCATGACAAAGGTGAAGCCTCTAATAATGCAATTTTATTGTCTCCTTTTACTCAATTTTTTAAATTTTCCATCAATTTTGCATTCCAGGGTGTCTCTCTTCATGGATTTGGCACATTCACATTCTCTCAAAGGAAGATTGACATAGGTTGTGGAAAAATACTCAAAATACAAAGACCTGTATTTGTTCTCTCAGAAAACATGGCCCAAACTCACTCCTTATCTTATCCGAAGCAGCTAGCCACAGGTCTGCATATGCATGTACATGTACTTGTGTGTCCATTGAACCGCATAGATGTTATCAGCTAGCTCGATTGCTTTGCTAGCTGCTAATAGCAGTAATGGTGTTATCGTTTCTACGAATAGCATCTGAAGTCCGTGGAGTGTTATCTCATACTTGCCATTTTGTCAAATCGTAGGTCAAATTCCAGTACTATCCATTAACTACACTGTCCTCTCTAATGGAACTTCTTTCAGTCGTGACACTGTTGAGCTCTGCATTCGTGAGATCCTAGTCGCTTTTGGAAAGGCGCTTGGAGCATGCAAAGACATCAGTCTCGATTTTCCAAAGATTGGGAGACTCATGATACGAGACAAGAAATGTCGTATGAGGTTTTTCAAAGAATTTATAACATCAATGGATTCTTCAGGAAGAATCAAATATGCATTTGTAAGTACATTTAAATGTACATGTACATGTACATGCTATTAATACTTGTACTGTATTATGCATGTGTACATACACATACATGCAATACTATTTCTCTTTCATGCATAGAGTTCCAATAAGTCTCAAAGCTCAGAGGGTTCAGTTATGTCAGAGCCTCCCTGTGTCCGCTTAAATCGAACGCTGCCAAAGTATAAGACCAAATGAGCTTGCATGATGTTAAAATAATGTTATCCATAGGATCGTTGAGGTAACAAATGAAGATAGTAGCTCTGAGGGAGGTAGTACTAGTACTCCACTTCCACCAGCAATAAAAAATTCAAATAAACCAAACCAAGGTAAGCTGTACTATACAACTAGGTCATCACTTCCCTATAGTTTTCCTTTTGTGTATAATTACATGTACAATCAATTTCTCTTTTGCTTTCCTTTCTTCTCAGATTTTATGTCAAACAAAGACAAACCTACCGCACCACATCACAGCCCCAAACACGAGACAGTGCTACCACTACCTTGTAAGTGAATGCATAGCAAAAACATGTATGAAAATGACATTAATATTTTTTGTGAAGCTGCTCCATCTCCAGCTGGCTCTAAAACTGAAGCAAAGCCGAGATCAGAGCCTCTAAATAATGACAATCGTCCCACAAGCTCCTGTTCACATTGTGCTGGTGATAGGAACTCAATGTGCTATGTCTGCCACCAGAGGGAGCTCCGTAATGTCCCTATTTATTTAGCAGAGGAAAGGAAAAGGAAAGAGAAACTTCATGAGCGATTGCTAAACGAGTTTCAGCAGAAAAAGGCTGCTTTGCTCAATGCTAGGGAAAAGGTTGCTTTAAAATTAATGATTGTAATTTTTAATTGTACGTCCTTTTCCTTAGGCTAAACAGCTGCAAAATTTTGAAATAGCTAAAGATGCAGCAGATTTTAATCTTCATTCCATGGAGAAGAAAAAGGTACAAAAGTTACTGTCACTCCCAAAATAAATACATGCATTATGTATGTACATTAGCTCAATGAAATGAAAGACAGTATCAGGAACTCAGACTATCAAGTTAGTTTTTTTGTAGATTTTGAAATCATGAACATTATACCTGTACTGTACATTCACTCTTTGTAGACTTTGAAATCATAAATATACATGTACATGTATACCTGTACCTGTACAAATATTCACTCATCAATAATATTTATTGAATTTATTTTAAAGCCTTCATGTGTGTTTCAAACCCGCCCCCTCACTCCGTGCTATACAAGAAAGCAACTGGAGTATTGCCAGCAGCTGGATGAACAAGTGAGAAGGAGGCAGGAAGCTTATCGCACTGCAAGGAAAAGAGAAGAAGATTTTGAAAAGAAGGAACAAAATCAGCTAACAAAAGAGTAAGTATTATGATTATTACCACCCTTTACCTTTATACATGTACATGTAATTAAAATTATTAATACTGGTACAGATTAGCAAAAATTAAGGAGGCGTATTATTCAAAGATGCTAGAACGTAAAGCAAGCTACCAGCAAGCATTGGATGATCAGGTAAAGAGACCATCAAAATGACTAACTGAATGCTCAGTTAATGAGACTTCAACTTTTTATAATTGGTATCATTTTTATTACACATACAGATTCACTTGAAGGCTACTAGAAATAGGGCCCCATCACCAGTTTCACAGCCAATATTTGCTGTACAAGACACAGCTACAGTACATACTCATAGAGATAGAGCTAGAAAGCTTTACCACGAGCAGCTATCATTCATCATGGAAAAGGAGCAAAAGCTAAAGTCACAGGCACTACAGCAAAAGAAGGCTGATGCCCAACAGTTGTACCTAAACTTGCAAGAGTAAGTAAAAACACTGAAATTAAAATACTCTCTAATATTGTATGCTTGTACATACTAATTGACTTACTGTTATACATGAAGGTTCATGTACATGTACATTTTATTTGTTTCAGTTACAAAAGGGATATTGAGAAGTCACGAAAAGACCGTATTCAAGCCAGGAAAGAACTGGAGGAGTATTGGCAAGAAGCTGCTAGGAAAAAGCAGTTGAGAGAGGAGAGCGAGAGCATACCCAGAGACTGCCTCCTTCAAGATCAGTGTAAGAAGTACCCGAGGTGCCGTCAGTGTCAGAGGAAGATTGATAACGTTGGAGCATCCAATGTTCTGTCTGAAAGCCGCTACACTGCTGGCTCGAGGCTCATGATATAAAACTTAAACTTTTCAACTGAAATCATTGACTTTTTTGCTATAGTATATCACACCCTCATTTGAACTTTAAAGTTATTAAAAGGTACGAAATAAAATTAATAGGTAGCGATACAGCATGGATGTTCTATTATCACAAGCAGCTATTAATTATCCCTTTTTTGCACTTTGAAGCAATTTAGCAGTAATTTCCATTATAGCTTGATACTTTTGTGTAGTCAAGTCCCCAACGTCATCGGTAGCACCCCAACAGCCGAACCTTGAATAAGCACCCGACAAAGAGAAATAGTTGTACACATCGCCAGGTCTGGGGAGACCAAACCAGTTATCAAGTACATCTTCAACAACGATCGGTTTGATTCCTGCATTGCGCTGAGCTTCAATCCTATTACCAATGTTAGTCTTATCCCCAACCTTCATGCCAGGGCCTGCTTCATAGGCAGCTAGCTTTAGGCTCCACACACTTGCTATCTCCCCAATCTCCAGTGTGTTCTTGTATCCAGTTTCGCTGCTGTTCTTTATAGCTGTTAGTATCTGCTGTATATTTGCATTTTCCGGGGCTGAAGAATCACTGAAATAGTGAGTCTGTGCTACAGCATACAGGTAATTTTTTGGCGGCCCATAAAAGAGGTTGAGCCAGTTCAAGAGCTCATCATAATGCTGAGGGAATCCAGTCCATTCAGCAAGTACTAGCAGTATCTTGCGGTTGTATGCTGATGAACCAAACACGTTAGAGAATATCGTCCCTATTTCAACTAGCCTCTTGGCGTGATTACGTCTTGCCATCACCTCTTGATCGGTTGTGTTGAATGCGATTGAAATCTTAGGATCTTGTTTTACTCTATCAGCTGCATTGAGCTTATTCCAAGTATATTGAGTGAAGCCAAAGTTCCAGACTTCGTTGCTGTGTTCAATGTATATCCTTATGTTACTCTTTAGTCCAACGTTGCTAGTGAAGCTGTTCCCATGCTGTAAGAGCAGTGCTAGTTGGTAAATGTAGGAAGACTGATCCTGATCGCAGCCCTTATCAGGATAAGGTAGGCAGCCACTGGCAGATACAGGTATATTGATCCACACATCCTTCTCTACCATATTAGCTAATATTATAACATACTCCCATGCCCATCCATGCTTCCCAGCTCTTAAATCAGTCCATCCAGTTTGTACAGAGTCGTTGGGAAAGCTCCGTTGATCCCACGATATGATGTGATTGCCTTTGTCACCGTAAAAACCAGCCTGATAGTTAGTACCCAACGCTCCCATGAACCTCATGTGATCAAACGGTTCCAATGCCTTGATAAAGTAAGGATTAAAGATTGGAGGAGGCCCTGACTTCTGCACGCAGTAAGGAGCAATGATGGATATATTAGTGACCCCACTATTCTGATGTGAAGCAGGCGTACGTTGAGTGTTAGTGAACATTAAAACCATTAATGCATCTGTCTTGGTATAAATGATATCAGCTGTTGTCATATTAGTCGTATTATCAAATACAGCATTCTTTATTGACCCACTGAATGAATTATCGGCTATAGACACGTTGGCAATCCCAACGAAAGAGAGCTTCCATGTTCCATCGAGATACTTTGGTATCCTTTTCTCCGGGTCATCAATAGGAGGTGCCCAAGCAAAGGCAGGACGAAGATCAAACACAACTAACTTCCCGTCGTTCATAGGCCAGCCATTAGCGTCAAATGGGACCTGTTTTCCTGTCGTGTCGGTGAAAGGTCTGGACTCTTTTATAACATCACAAAAGGCAGGTGGCCTACTACCCACCTCAACTCCGAGTGAAGCAGTTTTAGGAGGAGGTGGGAATACTTGAGAATTGCAGAGAGAGAGGCAAATAAGGAGACTAACTGAGAGCAGCATACTTTCAGGGAGGAATACACACAAACTGACAAAATAGGGCCACACACATAGAGAATGTTATTCATAGTACACTTCATTGTATCAATGAGCATGAGGAAGAATTAAAAGAGAGATAATGCATAGTCTGTTTATGTTAACTACATATGCTGGTAATTAATTACTGTAAAATATTAAACTATGTGCATCAATTACAGACTGTACTTCTAACAGGAATGACATGTGATATATAACTAAAGTTAATAGGCAACCCTGTCTAGTGCTATTACTGCTATTATTAGAATCTCTGTTCTAATATTAGAACAGGCTACACAGGACTGACAGCAGTACTGTTCTAATAATAGCATAGACAGGATTGCGGCTGCCTGTTGTAATGATAAGTTGATAACATAGACTAGAGTGAGAGTCAGGCTCAGTCAGCCATCTTGATAGTTCGAAATCAAAAAGTTAGTTTGAAGAAGGAATCTGTCAACTGAACTAGGCTAAAATAAATAATGGGTGGAAGTCAATCAAAAGTTGAAGTAGTGTACAAGCCTCATGTAGTACCAGTAAAGGTAGAAGTGGAGAGTGAGCAAAGCAAGAAATACAGGAAACTATTGCAAGCTGACAAGCAGTTGGAAAAAATTCAACAAGAGATAGCTTGCCTGGACCCAGTAATCACAGGATATAGATCTCAGTGTGGATCAAGTGAAGCTGCAGTTATTGTACAATATGAAGGTGATATAGACAAGGACACTATTGCTTCCAATATAGAGGTATTGTTTCCCAATAATCCTTGCAAGAATGAGCTTATAGAGACGGCTACCAGTATGCTCATGACAATCAAGACTACCGATGAAATACGAGATGTGCTGAAGTGGGAAAAGCGTACATTGTATAAAACAGTAGAAGGAAAAGTGTTTGGATTTGAGCTTCAATATAAAATAAAGTATTTCGATGAACTCAAAGGTAGGGTTTATGGATTCAGGAGTAATGAAACTACACTTCTGGTTGCATACAAAAGTGCCTTATATGTCATGGATGAAGATCCTGAAGATTTTCCTGATTCAGAGCAATTGAAAGCAATTAAAATGTAAAAGAACTTTAAGCCAGTTAATTAATATGTGACTATAAAACAGCTTTAGGTATTAGACATTAGCTTCCTATCTTTGCATTAAATTGTAATTTCTAGTAAAACTTAATAGTTATGTCATATTGTCGTTATATTATTATAATCAAGAGTAAATACATGTAATACCTACAGAGAGTGGGGGGATCTCAGCTGGCAGCTGCAGTGCTGGAAGCACTGTAGCTGCATGGAACTGTGGATAATGAAGTCATGTTCAGTATACTCTTATTATCAATGATAATGTTGTTATAACAACACATCTGCATAAACTACTGAAGTATGTGGAGCATAGGGGTAGGAACGAACTAAAAGTTGGGGGGGCTAAGGTATTATTTTTAAAATTGATCATTAATACACAGCATGTACTGAAATTAATACTGTCCAAAATATTGGCGTTTATGCTCATTAAATTTAACAAATTCCTTTGCAATGTCCTCGATGTGTAAATCATCTGTAAATTCTTTGTGTGTATGCAAAATAACGACATGATTAAGACGCTCTTGTGACATTGTGGAGCGCAAGTAGTTTTTAATCTCCTTAATGTCAAAAGTCTATGCTCAGCTAAAGCTGACGTTAACAGTGTTGTTAAATAAAGAAGTAGAAACTTGTGTATTTCTGAAAAAACTAATAAAAGTGTGTTCTTAGAAGTTAAGCTAGTGCATTAATTGTTTTATGAAACGAATCATCACACAATATGCACACATATAAGGATTACCTAAACTAAAGTCTATAGTGTTGATAATAGTAATACATGTACATCACTTAAAGTTGGAGGGGCTAAGCCCCCCTTCAATGAAAGTTGGGGGGGCTTAAGCCCCTCCTGCCCCCCTGTTCCTACCCCTATGATGTGGAGTGTGACTTCTTAATAATCCAGATAATTGTAGTAGGCTTCGTTAGGGCTGTTGGATACTCTCTTTAAGTATTATTTACTCTTGTTATAATGAATATATAAAATAAAGTGTGTATAAGATGAGTTTTGATAATACGTGTAATATAAAATGTTTTGAGAGTTACTTCTGCTTTTTAAACTTCTTGAATGCAGCAGGTAGTTCGTCCTTATCTAAAATATTATTATGTACATTTTAGATGATCACAAAATTTTTAACAAATAAATGCCCACACATTCATTTATACTAATAATAGTCTGGGCCTGTCCCTTCTATGCTAATAAAATACTGCGAAGAACAACAAAGAGAGTCTTTACATTAGATACTATTGCTCACCTAATTTCCTTTTCTTGTTGTATTTCCTTTCAAACTGTCCAACATCAAACTTCCTCTTGCATCCCTGATAGTTCATGTACCGTATCTTACCAAACACTGATCTCTCTGCCCAGCCTTGATCATGAATGCCACATATCGACCACATACAACCTATCAATCAATAGAGACACAAAATAGTGCTGTGTAATTATAATAATCTATATGGGGTAAGTCAGGTATGAATGACAGTGTATTTTTCATGACAAATAGCTAAGAGAGAATTCTCCATTAAAACTTTTTTCTGATGCATAGAAATGTACTCATGTTGTGTAGAAAGTTTGAGCTGATTCCAATCAAAATTGGATTTTTAACAAATTTTTAAAGTTGCTCCAAAATCGGCCCAAAGTCTCTGTACTACAGTACAGGGATTTTGACCAAATTTTGCCAAAAATGAAAAGTAGAAAATTCCTTTTTATTATAATTTTTTCTGATGCACATACATGTTCTTATGCTGTGTAGAAAGTTTGAGCTGATTTCAATCAAAATTAATTTTTTTACGAATTTTAAAAGTAGCTCCAAAATCAGCCCAAAGTCCCTGTACTATAGTACAGGGATTTTGGCCAAATTTTGCCAAAAATGAAAAGTAGAAAATTCCTCATTTGTATAATTTTTTTCTGGTACATATAGATGTTTTTATGTTGCGTAGAAAGTTTGAGCTGATTCCAATTAAAATTAAATTTTTTACGAATTTTTAAAGTTGCTCCAAAATTGGCTTAAAGTCCCTGTACTATAGTACAGAGATTTTGGCAAAATTTTGCCAAAAATGAAAAATAGAAAATTCCTCAATTGTATAATTTTTCTGATACGCATACATGTTTTTATGTTGCGTAGAAAGTTTGAGCTGATTCCAATTAAAACTGGATTTTTTATGAATTTAAAAGTTGCTCCAAAATACACATTATTATTTCCTTACCAACATATCCATTAGGGTCTCTACCATCAATCTCATACTTATCATTGAGATAGATAGCAATCCTTAATCCTTCCTCAGGACTTGACGTCCATTCCAGTATCTTCTTAGCCCAATACATCCTCAGGAAACCATGCATCTTCCCTTCCTGTACCATTTGTAGCTATACAGTATCATAAATAATAAATATATAATTATTATTGTCAATGCAGCATACATACATGTACACAATGTATAATCAATGCAGTGAATGCACTAGCATAAATCTCACTTGAGCAGCATTCCAAAGAGGATCATGCGTCGATGATGACTCAAATTGTTCCTGAGTATAAATGTACTCTCTCTTATCCTTCTTGTGAGCTCTGGAGAAAAAGAAAAACAAATCACAATAATGATAAAATAATGCTATTATTGCATTAGCTCACTTTAGTGTATCTTGAGCCCATTGAGCTGCCCCACTGATGGAGTCATAGTGAGGATTATAATAGCAAAAGTTATCAGCTAACTCTCTCCTCACGACTGCCTCTTCAATATATGCCGATACACTCTCAGAGTGCTTCGAGCTATAACTCTTGACCTTTAGGATAGCTCTCTGTACCCCAACTTGACCTTTACAAAATAAATAATTTTAAATAGTAGGAAAATACTAGTATTAGCATACCAAAATGATACCAAGGAGACAAGTTACTGAGAGAATCTTTATTAGGGTCATTGCGTTGCGCAGCAAAGAACTTGAGTCTCTTGGTACAGAAGTCATCCAATACCTTCAGACCAGCATTAGTGCCAGGAGTAGCCCATGAGACTTCACTGACTGTCATATCAACTTCAAGGCTCTCCCTTGCCTTAATCCAATTAGTTGACTAGTAAAGCAATACTCATACACCTTGCAATATCATAAGGTCCTTACTTTCATTGTTAGCTTTGAGTTATGAGTATGGACAGTAACAGGAGGAAACTCTGTTAGGAATTCCGGCAGAAACTTGTGTATTTTATTACGAATAGTCCTAGCAGCATATTCCTGTTTATCAGATGCCAGCCATACTGGCACTATGTTGTGTGCATCCACCTATTAGGTAGTAAAAAAATAAAAAATTAAAAACATTAGTTAGAAATACATGTAACATACTTTTATAGCTTACATAAATCACATTGACACATACATTGTACCTGAACTAATGGTACTTTAATTTTATCCAGTTCAGCTCCAGTTTCCTTCACCCATCCAAGAGGAACTCTTAATGGAGAGAAGTCACACACAACAACTGAGACACTTTCTTTAGCAATGAATGAAGGGAGACAGGATTGGGCTTTACCAAGTAGTAAATGAAATGGTATCTTAAGTTTCAGTAATTCCTAATAAAATTTTTAAATGAATTTATCATAAATCAAGTGTTTGAATTATAGATTAAATATATAGTTTGTCAATAACTAAAAAAATTGTACCAAATTTGGCTCAATTAAACTTTTTTATATTGACAGTGTTTTCCACTAAGTGCCAGCTAAACAGCATGCTTTGTGAGTTGACAAGTGTTACAATAGTAGTAATGCTTTCAAAATTTGGCAGAAGATGTCAAAATCCTGTGGGAAGCCTTGTATGTATATCAATAATGTCCATTTTAAAGTGGAGTAAACAACAGAAATACTATGTACCATATAACGCAGTTACTAAAATATTTATGCTGTAACAAAATTTTACCTTTTCCACTTCTTGGAGACCAGACATCATGAAGCTATACTGTCTCCATGTGGCATCAAGGAATTTAGGTACAAGAGTGAATGCAACCAGTAGAGGAACACCGTGCTTATTAGCCAACTCCTGACTGTAAACCAGACCCCAATTATCTATTATTATGTACAAAACACATTAAAAATTATAACAATTATTATTACGGTATTTTATCAAATTTAAGATGATTCTAGTCAAAATTTTTACATTTTTAAAAGGTGCTAAAATTGGTGAAAGACCAATTATACACATGCTTATTTCAATCAAATAAATTGGTGTTAAAAGTATGTTCAAAACTTTGTTAAATATATCTAGCAATGGTAATTGATCACTGCATGCTCCTTTACTATAAGTTGGACTCTATGTACAAGATGTTATGCAATACTTCATCATCATGATCTTCTCACCTTGAACCCTCTGGTCTCTGGACATCCAATAGAGTACAGGACCTTTAACAATACTTGATTTACCAGCAGTGGGTTTAGTTATTAAGCGACACCTTTTCATGTTAAATGAAGAACCAGCTATCAACAAAGACTCCTGCAATGCGGCACCTCTGGCAGCACCTGCTGCTTGACTTCCTGCAGCCATTTTAATTTTTTTGCACAAAATAGGCGTGGCTGTAAGTTTAGAAGACCACGCCTTGTTTTTTTGCTTGCACTGCATTCTTTGATGATCTGATCTTGCTGACTTGCTCGGGTGATGAGTGAGCCTGAAGATTCGAATGTAGTAGACCAAACCAGTACTACGAGTACTACTGAGCAAAAGTTAGAGTCTCTTAAAGCTTCCTGTGAATCCTCTCTTCCTCTGGCACACAAGGACAGCCTCATTACTCTCATAAATGAGGCTACCCAACCCGAGACAGGTCAAACCTTAGAAGACTCACTCTCTCTTCTCTTCTCTCATTTCAACTCTTCCTCTGACTCTTCTCAATCTCTTGCTTTATGCTCTGCCTTCATTCTTGGGTGCCTCTCTGCCCTGGGCTGGGAAAAAGGAGAGTTAGTGGACCAGTTAAAATCTAAAGCTGATGTGACCTTTTCTTTGGCGACCTCTTACCCTGAAGTATGGAGAAGAGCAAATGAGATGAAGGAGACAATCAGAAGAGATGTTTCTTCGATTGGTACTGGAATTGACATGCCACTCCTCAGTTTTTATGTCAATTTGATTCGTTTGTCACTCTATAAGACACTCTTGGTCTTACCCACTTCGAATGAACCAGAGACATTTTATGAAATTTTTGACCGCTTATTGTCGTTTACTTTGTCTGAAAGTGCTAGCATCATTCACTCGATTCTTTGTTATTTCGACTGCAATGAGAAAGAGGTATCTAGGCTAAGCCCATACTTGATACCAGGCTTTGATTTACATGCATCATATCCCAAGATATACTTTAGATTAAGGATTGCAGAGTTCTTGTATCATTTGGGAGAGGACGACTGCAAATTGGCAATGATGACTTTCTCTCGTCTCCACTTACATAATGAAACCATTGACAGACATTCTCCGCTGGAATTTGTTGGATTTATATTCGATCGTGGGCAAGCAGATGTAGCAAAGCTGAACAAGCTAGCAGAGTGTTTTAATCAGCCAAACTATTTTAATATATGTTCACAGCAAGAGAATGGAGGTACGTGTAAGGATTGAATGTTAGTTCATTTTATTGATTTTATTTTAGGCAATTCTCCTGATACTGATTTCTCGTCGTCAGTCACACCCATTGAAAGTGATATTACAACTCATCGTGAAGCTACTCCTAGCTCGTTAAATGAAGGTAATTGAATTAAGAGGTTTATCTTTGCATGATTTTTATCTAAATTTTAGTATCAAAAGCAAGAATGTTTTTTATGATCAGCCGTCATCATCCAGAAGAAAGTAACAGTTAGATTTTATTTATTTATTATTCATTTACTACATGTAGGTGACTTGGCAAAGGTGAATGACTTTATTTCAGAACATTTCAGTATTAATGCTGAAGGTATAGTATAATAGACCCCCTAGCATCCTCTGGATATTGTTCTTTATTATTAGATCCTCCTCCTACAGCACAACATAGAAATTCTGCAGTCGTACTACCTACAAGTAATGTATTCTTGATTAATTCATTTTGATTGATAATAATTTCAATAGATGACAGTACTGTACATAGTGCTGCTCCTGACACTTCTAATACTCCTCTTGTTGTTTCTCAGGAAGATTGTGAGTCTATTAATGTATACTGTTCATATGTAACTATTTCTTTTATTAGCTTGTTGCAAGAGACACTGGAAGAAAATAGGTACATAATAATGATAATATTACTTATATGAGATTATATGTGTATAGTGTACAGTGTATGTTAAATTGTTAATGCCATCAAAGAGACCACAGTAACTGATAGTTCAATAATTATCATTTACATAGTTCCACTTCCTCCTCTCCCTCCTCCTCCTTTGTCTCTTTATGGTTTGTTTGTTTATTCTGTTATTCTAAGTGTAACTGTTTTTATAATGTTTCTCTTTCTTTTATAGCATTAATAATGACCCTGATTATTATTATGATAATCATCGCTGTGATACTTGGATGTGTTTCTGCTGGATTTCATTTGAGTCCACCTTCCCCTAGTAGCTCCTCTACAATGACAAGTGCTATTATATATGGAACAAACATTTATCCTGTACTCCTTGGTACATTTGAGAATACCTGCGTTTACCTGCCTGGTTCTGTAAATGTTACATTTGTTTCGGCTGATATTCCTCTTAACATGTCAGTACATGAATTATCTCCTGTCCCGTACGACACACCTGGTCCTAATATAGCTCAATGTGATGAGTACGAGTACAATGGACGAGGTGTTCCGATAAATTTAGGCCCTGGCTCAAAGCTGGTCTATAACATGACACTGAAGCGACGTGAACACATTACAGAGAATGATGATTGTGTTAGATTGTATCTTGGACGTTATTCTGAGAAGTCGCTAGATCACGTACTAAATCTGACAGGACCCTGTAACCAGGATGATAGTATTGTTGCTCACTCTCAGTGTCTCAGATTAGAGCCTAATGAGTCAATGGCTCATATACTCGTAGTGTTCAATATCACTCGTCAAGATGATTATTATGTTGTGTATGAGACCTCTGGTAATTATTCATTTGGAACGGTGATCACAGGATCACAGGTGTTCTATGATGTATCAAGGAGTGACAGGGTGTGTACTGCTGGCAATGGTGTGTGCAGTATTGGCTCTTGTGGTTACTCGTTTTGGGACTTTCGCTCGTGTTCTGATGCTATCAATGGATACAATAATACATTTAATGTATTGATAGAGTCCAATAGTGATAAAGATGTTCCTCTTAATATTACTAGTGATGATGATGCATTGCCAACCAACTACTGCATCATTACTGCTACTGCTGTTAGCAGTGGGTTATTGATAGTTACATGTATATTATTTTGTTGTTGCTTAATCTGTTGTTATGCAGGGTATTATTATTATAAAAGACATAGAAACAACTATGCCTTTTCTTCTTAAACAATGATTTTACTACTAGTACTATATCTATAATTGATTGTGGCATTTTTTTATTTTTATATATAATTATCGAAGTTGAGTAGTGCTGTCATGAGCCCAGCCCACTTAGCCCTAGGAGGCAGGACATCAGTGGATTCAGTGCCTCACCTCTGGATGGTATACAGCACGAGGTAGGTCATGAATGATTCAGGCAATGACAGTTGTGATTCTCAGTTGACTTTGACTCAGAGGAACATCTTGCTTTGCACATTTGGAGGAGTGGGTAGCTTATCTACAGTTATATGTACTGTCGCACTAATCTTCACTTGCTATTATAAATTGTACAAGAGGTTCGCCCACAGACTAGTCATCTACCAGCTACTCTCCACGCTGTTTTTCTCATTTGTTTGTGCATCAGAACTTATTTTTTTCAATTACACTTCTAGCACGACAAGGAAAGTTTTGTGTGATGCTGTTGGATTTTTTCTAACCATTGCTGTGAATTCAAAATTTTTTGTCACCTTTTGGCTGACTTTTCACCTATTTGCATTTGCTGTATTCTCTAAAGACTTACGTCGTCTAGAGCCACTGTACATTCTGACATCGTTCGGTATTCCATTGCTCTTTGCTTGGATTCCATTCGTTAATAATCTGTATGGCATAGCAGGTGCATGGTGCTGGATAAAGAATTGGAAAGGAGATTGTGCTAAGGACAAGATATTGTTAGGTTTTATTGAGCAATACCTTTTCCTTTATGCTCCTGGCCTACTTTTATTACTCCTTGATCTGCTGATGATTATTATAACGGTCAGTGTATTGATGTATCAGTCTTACTGTTGCTCAAGTAAAGCACAGGAGGAATGTGATCCTTTACTTCAAAGACAAGTGGAGAGGCGGAAAAAAGCTTTCAAAGAAATCCTCCCTTTAATATTGTATCCTATAATATTCATAATATTATTCCTTCCTTCAGCTATTCAAAGGATCTATGGAGCAATAGTACCTGAAACCGAGTTTTTTCTGTTTGTACTACATGCATCAACTGGGCCTAGTTGGGGTCTTTTTGTTGGAATAGCCGTAGCTATCCACATCTGCCTTTTGAAATGCTGTGGGGCTCCATCACAGTTAAACCCAAAAGAAAAGCCATCAGCTAACTTTAATAATGCGGCTGATCCTGTCTATACTACTGAAACTATAGCCTCAACTAATGCAAGGACATATTATAGTGCTCCTAAAGAAAGCGAAGTCTCTTTACTTTATAGTGTTGACACTGGAACAGAATGAAGTTAAATAAATTAATGCAGATCTAATGTTGTTTTTGATTACATGTATTGATAAGAATCTGAATTTTGTGAAAATGATGCATATGATTGCATGCATTTGCCACCTTAAGATTAATGGGTAGAGTATAGTACTCCTCCCCTTTAATATGGATATATGTAACCAGAGATCAAACAAAAATAAAATAATAATAGCCAAGTGAATCAGGCTATGAAATTGTATTAAAACATACAATGATAATAAAACAGTCAGACTAATGAGCTTACTATAAGGCACAGTACTGTTAAGCAAGCCAAAAGAATGAGAATAATCAACTGATATTGAATTGTTGAAGTCCCTACAGTACATGAAAACAACAATAAGTATGATTGATCCATGAACTTTACCTGAAGCATTGGTACTATGGCTGCATTCTAAACACGGCTGATCATAGGTGCCATATTCCTCATAAAAAACAGAAATTTTATCAGTAACCAGGAGTGTTCCAATGTTGTAGCTTATGTTGACGGTCCTAGGTATTCTTATTAAAAGTGGAGCAATAGCCTCCTTTTCAACGGTCAAGTTATCCGACCGTACAAGACTGAGTAGTAACACTGTTTTCTGATCTTGAGCCACATCAAATGTAAAAGCAGTGCTACCATCATCATCACTCTGATTCCTTGATATCTGATACGGGGACTGCAAGTCTACAGAGAATAAAATAAACTGCTTTGGAAATTTAATTACCTATGACAGTTGTGACTATTGTAGAATAGTTAGTGACATAGTGACCAATTAAGGTTACATTAAGAAAAGATTCTGTCCCATTCCTTGTAGAGTTATATGAGCAGGTATCTCCTGGGACACTAACTTTTTCTTCACTGCCAAACGAGATCTCTATTTTATTTAAAGGCAGTCCATTTCTTGAGCACTATTATTAAAAATAAAATAATTTACACTATAGTAGTACTAAGTAGATTTATACTCTCATCAAAACAAGCATGTATCACTATGACTTACGTTCCATGACAAACTTGTCAAAAAACAACCATCTTCATTCTTCTCATTACTCTTGCACAATACCTTAGCGTGAGGGTTTAGATGCGGTCCTATAAAAATACGTCAGTTAACATAATCTAAATTTTATACTGGCAAATACCGTATAGCGGGAAATTTTGGAGGGAGTTAAATTTGGCGAATTGCTAAAATTTGGTGATTGGCGAATTTTAAATTGGCAAATTAGCGGCCACGTGCCATTGAGCATGTGTATAATGACTCAAAATGGTGGATTTTATTTTGGCGAATTAATAATGGATATCAAATAAATGCCAAATTTAAATCCCTCCAAAATTCCCACTATATAGTATAACACAATGTCTCTCACCAGTATAAATAATAATAAATAAAGGAGCAAGTCCAGATTATGTGAAATAGTAAGACAAAATTTATAACAAACTATTTTATCTATAAAACTCACTGGGATAGGAAATGGGACACACTTCATATTGTCCATCATTGCGGAATGATGAACATGTAATATTAGTGTCCAAAATGTGTAGTGTCAGATTAAAGGTGATTGACACATTTAATTTTGATGGAGAAGACTCTATCACCTCAACCCTGAGCTCTTGGTTACTTGCGACATATCTATATTAGGAAATAAAATGCAACATTTATAAAATTATAATTATGCCCATATTATTCCTTAGTTTGGTCCTAAAACAGGAAAAGGTACTATAGTTGAGCAGGCTCATTAATTTAATGCAGATCACATGTGACGATGTAATTAAATCAATTTAAAGTTTTGATTATGAAATTCTGTCTCCTCGCTTAATGAGCTATATGATATGTCGTAGGAATAGGTTAATCACAAAGGAATTAATAGGAATTCATTATTTGAGCCTACTGAGCAGAATTTAATAGTAATTGGCTAGTTTTAATTTGGAAATACAAATAGTGGTTCAAAATATGAACCTTTTCATTAAGCACCTCCATCGACCTTTCATTCTCCCAAAAGCATTTTCAGTAACCACACGAGCCTTGCTAAGATGGTAGTTAAAATTAATCTGATCTGCTGAAAGCTTTCCATTGTCACTAAATGGCTTCATTACCCAAGTCAACAATGGATAAGCAGGATCAGCAACAATATGTAATGGTACAACAACATTATGTATCACTCGGCTTTGATTTTTTAGGACCAATTGTCCAGTTTGACCTAAGGTAAACAACTTTGAATGGCTAAAGACTCTGGCATCATGAACTGATCCCGGCCAGCCAATATATATATCAGTAAAACAATAATTACAGTCAACAAGCCCCTGCATCAGGATAGAATGAAAACCTTTCCTATTATAGTAATTTTTTGCACATTCACTTGGTGCAATAATGGGTAAATGTGTTCCGTCAATTGCCCCAAAACATTGTGGATAGCCCCACTTTTTTTCAAAATTTTTAACTATGTCAGAAAGCCTTTCACCTTTAGGCAGCCTAATATATTTGGAAAATAAATTTTTGACGATAGCTTTACAGACATCATTCACTATCACACATGCTGTTCCACGAGCAACTCCAAATAGATGCCCAATTGTTCTATATTCACAATTGGTTGCAAGTTTCCAGAGTGTAATAGCAACTCTTTTCTCAGTTGGAATAGCTTTTCTAAGTTTAGTATTACTTTTGGCAATATCATTCCTCAGACAGTTACACAGAACTGCAAATGTTGACTTACTAACTCTAAAATTTTCTCTCCAATCATCATCATTGAACGTACATCTAACAATACTGTTCCACCAATCTCCACTTCGTGCTCTCACCCATATGCTCCTTTTAATCATGTAGCGACGACATCTATGCATCAAAAGTAATACAGCATGAAAAATAATGCTTTGTCTTCTTTGAGCTTCTTGAAACTTTTGTAGCCTCAGTTGATAGCTGCTTCTTCTTTTTGTATACAAGTAAAACAAGTATAGAACTAACAGAACAGCTGGATTCACCATAATTTTTGCTTGTACTGAAACTACACCCTTAAAACCAACTGCTCTTTTATCTTATCTACCTAGTTTTGTTTGTTTAGTGTAAACACAACTTTAACCAGTTACTTTACTAAGTAGCTTAAGTAGTTTAAATCACTTCTGGGCTAGTGTAAACGGGGTAATTTATTTTGAATATTTTGAAGTGGTTCAAAATATGAT